AGATCGAAATAGTAGTGGTGGGCCCTTTTTAAAAAATTGGTCCTAAGGAGCATTGTGCTCTTAATACCATGTTAGAATCACTAGCTAGGGAACGAGAAAAGTGATGATTAGGTGAAGATTGGGGGTACAAGACTAGAGTGTCGAGACTATTTGTGTACCCCCTAAGGCTAGCCCCAATATAGCCTATATACAATTATGCATATGTTTTGACAAAAATTGCTGTATTCATACTGCTGGTGCTCCTGCTGCTGTTGCTGCAGCCGCTGCAGCCGCTGTTGCCGATATTTCTGCAGGTGCTGCTGCTGCTGCTGCTGCTGCTGCTGATGTGGATGCAACTCAGAGTTGTCCTGTTGGTCCACGTGTTGCACCTCAGCAGAGCGCGATGGGGGGGGCGATGCTACGTCAGCACGAGGAGATTCCGCGTCAGGCCTTGGGGGTCCGAGAAGAGCCTGGCAGCTTTCCAGAGCCTCCATCGCTGATTGGACCAGATCTTGAGCCTCTGCCACGTCACTGCGGAAGGGAAAGGATATTGGGAGGGAGAAATCAATGAACCCTGGAAGAAATGACGAAAAAAACAAGGAAAAGAAAGTAGGTGCATCGGGGAAAAGAAAGAACCACATTTTAGGGGTCCGTAGGTTTTTCTACGAAAAAGCATACAAAAAGTCCCATACAGTACACAAAAGACCCCAAACCACATGTGACGCAAATGTCACATTTTGGGTTTTTCCCTTATACACTTTTCGGCCTTTGGATGCTCGCACCGCACATTTCATGCAATGTGTCGCACGTTTTCGACGGACCGCACATTTGGGATTCCCGCGCCAATGCACATTCCCCGCGCCGCACATTTTTCGCCATTTACACCACTGCTAACTAGGCTCGTCTGATGTGTGTATACGCAATTAGGAATGTCAAAGTAAGATACACTACCGTCGTGTTCAACTCACATGTACTGCATAAAACACTATTCAATAGTGTTGTGTGGTCACCATCACCAAGTTAGTCATCGCCCTTTCACACATAATCAGCGTCAATTGCGTCTCACACGGTGCGACAAGCCACTGAACTGTCCCGTGAATCCCGCTAGTCAAACCCAGGGTCGTCGCTAGCAGAAATTTTCTGTCTGTTTGTCCGATATTCAGACAGATTTTTACCAGTTCATCTGATTTTCCAGAAATGAATTTTTGAAATTTCTGATTCATAAGAAATGTTTTTTGAATTCATCTGATCAATCAGGAACCTGTTCTGGTTTCGTCTGATACCGAGTTCCTATGTAGAAGGGTATTTCGTGTGTGAAAGAGTTCGGTAGTTTGTGTGGACTGTTACCTAACCCTGATCGCTGTGTACAGAAGTAGCCTAGTTTGTTGCAATTGGCTTCACAATGGTGAGCATCTGAGTTCGGGTCCCGAAGTCGCGCGATTTTCTTTGCAATTCCTTCGTAAGGTACAGAACACTGTGAAATGAGGAGGGCTCTAAGAAAAGCAATCAGAAATTGAATTTTAAAATTTTCTGATTCAGCAGAAATGTTTTGAAGGAAAGTCTGATGCATCAGACAGAAAAAACCACGCCATCTGATGCATCAGGCAGGCTCAAAACCTAGGGATGACCCTGGTCAAACCCACTCATGTTCACTCGGTCAGCAGGAACCTGTTGAGCAGCATGACACGCTTGTCCACATAAGACATGCAAATGTGCACCACCTTCTGGATGCACTTTACGTCCACCACAGCATACCTTGTCCTCACACGGCCGGGTGTCAACTGCAAGCAAGTTGTCATCGGGCACGTGCCTTCCGCCTCGTAGTACTTCACGTACACGTGCCTCCCCATCTCTCCATCCACCCCCTTTGCCCTGAAGATGCATAGGCACCTTGCGTACCACTCTCCCTCATCTGGGTTAAGCACGGCCACGTCTGAAAACCACTTCTCTGATGGGCTTGCCTTCACAAACGATACGGACGACGCGAAAGGCATCGAGAAAATCTTGGCTCGTTTAATTTGGCTCGTCGAACGCCCGGTAAAAGGCGGCAGCATTAAAGTACATGAGACATCGAGTCACCGTAGACATGTCAATGTCTTATCACACTCACGGGAATCCAGAGACGTGCTCCTTTCTCTCACCGGCTTTAGTAGATCACGGCCAAAGTCGGCTTGCTTCGGAAAACTGGCGCTGCTCATCTTAATTCTGACAAGACGAGAAGGCGGGCTACTCACCAGCTGAGGCTCTCATGAAATTCCGGGTCCTCTTGTCCCGGAAATTGAAGTCGAGTCTGCTAATATGAAGTCTAACAATCACTCTACAACGAGAAGGCTGCATACTCACTCACTGAGGCACTCATCAAAGTCCGGGTCCTCTTGTCCCGCGGATCGTTCAGCGTTATCGACGCGGCAGTACATGGTATCAGCGTGCTCCTTCAGCTTCGTGACGTGCGAGTGCGCCCTCCTCGACGTGACTTGTAGTCTCTCACATAGCATTCTTAACGATCTCAATTGCTCCTCCATGGTCGGAGCGTGGATCTGCTCGCAGGACACTCAAGGTCTTACCGTGTAGGCGCCACGGCTGATATCTGGTTCGATGTATGACCTAGTAGTCATACGTCGCGAGAACCTGCAAGGGAAAGAGAGAGGATGTGGAGGTGCGGGAGGAGACTCGCCAACAACGAGAGCCTTAGCTGAGACACACGACAAAAAAAAAAAGAGGAAAAATAGAGAGACTTGGCTGTCGAATTTCTGATGTACTAGCTGTCTACGGAGGCGCCAAAATTCTCACAAGCGGAAGCGCGCATCCAAAATTACTGAGTAACCGTCCTAACCGGAGGCAAAATATGGGAAAGTAAAGGAAGCAGCAACAACGGCAGATCAAGAGAGAGTCAAGACGTTCTTCTAGTGTCTTGGGATCTGCGAGCGGTCAAAGACTTTCGTGAGGGTTTGGTGAGTTCCCTCCCTCCCTCCACATCTGACATGGCGTTCCCAGAGCTGTTCACAGGTCTGGTTACTGGTCTTGTCTGGTGAGGTTGGTGGTTGGTCCCAAACGTATCCTGCGTCAAGTTTGCTTGATCCGCGGAGGTTACCAGTGACCACTGACCAATCCCGAATCAGCCTCCCTTTCACCGACCAAACCTTGCCCGTACCAGACTCAAATCTGTTTGGACCAACCTGACTTGAATACACTTTAGTGGCGCGCCGAGCCAGGGTGGTGTGGTTTTGGTCCGCCCGCAGCTTCTCGGGCTCGGACCACCTCCCAAGTCAAGAAATCTCGAGGAGCTGTACAAGAACACCATTGAAACCCTAAACCGAAGTCATATAAACATTATATTCCGGCTTTAAGAATATGCCGCTGGGCAACTCTGATCTACCAAGTTATTTCGCCAGCAAACCCGAAACCCTGGAACTCTGAAACTCAAAGCAGCTAAACACTGCAAGTATTTATGTTAATTCTCCGATCCCCGCAAGATACTAGTGAACAAGTAGCTTCCAGCTTCCCTCGCCTCAGCACTAACCGCACTTCAAAAGGGAGGCATGGCCCACCTAAACTATCACCCACGCTGCTGGAAGATTATAAATTTTAAACACACATAGTGTTTTTCAAAATTGTGTATTGTGAAAGCGAAGCTGCTTGTATTGCACAATTGGCATCGTCGAAGCGCCCTAAACGCCCTTCTCCAACTAAAAAAACCGTGGGTTGGAGCTCATTTCCTCCACCCACGTTTCTCTATTTTCAAACGGCTCACTCAACCTTCCCACCACCCACCCCATCGTAAACCGTTTTGCGCATGCCACTTAAATAGTGATATGAGCATGCACTAGCTTGTGTTCAATTGTGATGCAAATGTTGTAAACAACCATTTGTAATGAGAACGATGCCAATTGATAAGAATAAGAAAGCAAGCTTTCTCAATCAAGTAATTTAACGCTTCTGAAGTAATCGAAGTATCGACACGAAACGGAGCAGACTACAGTAAAGCAACACGCGGGTCAACAAAAGTAACAGCTGGAGGTTACGCGAAGGTCAAAAGTCGCTAACCTTTGACTCGACGAAAAATACAGCGCGACAGCAAGGACACATAACTGACTCGATATTGAGCAGTTACCCGAGTCGTCACTGTATCAAACCGCAACAGCAGAAACAGTTAAAGTAAAACCCTTCATATTCCTTTGTAATCATATAAAAGCTTTGTATCTCTCTGCTATTATTAACTCATCTTGTTCTCACATAAACTTAGTAAACATTATAAATTTTAAACACACATTGTGTTTTTTAAATTGTGTATTGTGAAAGCGAAGCTGCTTGTACTGCACATTTGGCATCGTCGAAGCGCGCTAAACGCCCTTCTCCAACTACAAAAACCGTGGGTTGGAGCTCATTTCCCTCCACCCACGTTTCTCTATTTCCAACGGCTCACTCAACTTTCCCACCACCCACCCCAGCATCGACTGCCTACTAAGGCCGTTTGGACACGGTACATTTTAGCTAGTATTCTCTGCATGTACTAGCTTGTGTTAGAACTCGATGGATATGTTGTAATATGCCATTTGCAATGAGAACGATGCCAAATGATAAAAACAAGAAAGCAAGCTTTCTCAATATTAGTCATTACGCTTCTGCAAATACAACATTCTTACTCAAGAGATCTTAGCCAGGGTTTGATCCTAAGGGCTAATTCTCAGCCCAACACACGCAACCCGACATTTATGCTGGTCTAGACCTAAACCATTTGTTTATCAACCCCTCATCGACTGCAGCTAAGCTGTTAGGCTGAGACACACCTTTTACTCTCCTCCAGAGAGTCGATAGGCGACAGCAGGGACGCTTGCGCCACATCAAAGATAACTCGGGCTGTGTTCAGCGGTGACAGTGTACACAGCGTCTGCGGTGAGCCTCTTACTCTCCTTTAATTTCCGGCAAGTCGATAGGCAACAGCAGCGGCGCCTGCAAGATTGACATTTCAGTTGACTCAAAGGACACATTTCAGCCTGCTCATCTGGTCCGAAATGAGACTCTTACTCTCCTTTGATCTCAGGCAGGTCGATAGGCGACGGCAGCGGCGCCTGCGCCACGTCAGAAAAAACCCGGGCAGTATTCAGCGGCGACAGCATGCTAAACGGCGACTGCAGCTGACCTGGCGAATCCCTCCCCATCGGCCACCTGGCGCCCCCCGGGCCAATCAGAATGCGGGGCGAATCCCGAGGGAGAGAGGGCAGCCACATGGGCGTGGGGAGGGCTCCTTGCATGAGAGCAGAGGGGAGCGGGCCGGTGTACCCTGGAAAAGGATTACTGGAGTTCCCAGAGGTGCCTGCAGAGACAGAGGCGTCATTAGCAGAGGAACCAATGGCAGAGGCCCATGCGCTGGGATTGGACTGGGCATCCCGCGGCTTGATGTCAATGCTCGGCTGACTCTCCAGCTCCTCCTCGCCTCCGTTCCCATCCCCACTCCCATTCTTGCCGGCAATTCCATTTCCATCGCCGTCTCCACCCTCGTCCCCGTTCCTCATACCTTCTACCTTTCCTTCTACCTTTGTGCGTTTCGCCGCAGCTCCCTCCTCTCGCTTCAAGTCTGCTTCCGCACTGTTACCTCCTCCTTCTCCTGGCTTATCCGGCCCGCTTCGCAGGTTTGCTGCTTGTGAACCATCTGCCTCCCCCTTAATATCAGCCCGAAGAGCCCCACGATCAGCCCGTTCTGTTGCTGATACGGCACCACAATCACCACTACCTCTCTCTCCCTCTGTCTGCTTCTGCTGCTGCTGCTGCTGCTGCTGCTTGCTTGTGGACAGCTCATTAGAAGACACAGCAAGCCCAAGGCACGCTTCTTGCTGCTCACTCCTCTCTCCTGCCCGTGACTGTTGTGTCCGCAGCGTGGCTTGGGCACCAGATGGTAGAGCACAGACAGCACCTGCAGCAGCTGCTGCTGCTGCAGCAGATGCAGAAGTAGACGCAGCCCCACCAGTTACAGCAGCAGCACCATCACCGCCACTACCACCACGCACCACTTGCTTTCCCGCTTCCTCGGTCGACCCTCTCGTTACTCCACTCCCATTGCTCTCACCGCTCCCCACTCCCTTCAACCCCTCTCCCTGTCCAAAACCCGACAGAAAATCGCGGCCTTTGGGAGTGCTTTGCTGTTTCATCCCCCCATTCTCCCCACCAGTCGTCTCCCCTCCGTTCGCCCCGCCTACCCTGTGACTCGCCCCCCCCTTGTCACTCACAGGAGACGCAAATCCCTCGGAAAACTCCTCTCCCATGTCTGTAGGCTCGTGGCTGTGACTGTGACTGTGACCGTGGCTGTGCCCGTGGCTGTGGCTCCCACTCGCTTCTACCACCACCTCCCCTCCTCCACCCCCTCCTTCTCCGCATCCTCCTCCTCCCAGCCGCACCTGGAGAATGTCAAAAGGGGGTTGCTTCACTGCCTGTGCTGCACTGCCAATCGCTCCTGCGACACCAGTAGCAGCAGGAGCTGCAGAGGCAACCTCGGGAGCAGTGGGCGTAGCAGCAGCAGCACCTGCAGCGGCAGCAGAGTGGGGAGCAGGAAGAGCCAGGGAAGGCGGTGCAGCCGGGGCGAGGAGAGACAGCGGCGAGGGAGCAGCGGCAAGAGCACCAGCACCACTACCACCACCACCACCACCACCAGCCCCAATAACACCGGCAGAACCAGCAGCGACGGCACCAGCAGCAACACCAGCAGGAGCAGAAGCAGGGGGAGGAGCGGGGAGTGCGGCCGTTCCATCCACGGGGCCGTCATGAATGATGGTGATGGTGACGGGCCGGGGCGGCGGCTTGGAGTGGTTGTGCTCGCCGACGTACTTGATGCGCCAGTTGAAGGGGTTGTCGTTGCACCTCTCCGCCCACTTCTTGGCCGGACAGGGATGGGACCCCGTGGTCTTGTGGGCACAGCGGAAGTAGCTCCTGTGGGGGAGAGGAGGATCGGGGGAAAGCAGGGAGGAGAGGGAGTGGGGAAGGGGGGAAAAGGGGAAGCGGGAAAGGGGGAAGGGGAAAGGGGAGAAAGAGGGGGTGAGAGAGAGTGGGTGGTTATGCTCGCCAACGTATTTGATGCGCCACTTGACGGGGTTATCGTTGCACCTCTCCGCCCACTTCTTGGCCGGACAGGGGTATTAGGGCGGAGGAGGATGGCAGCACAGTAATGGGGCGCATGGAGGCAGCAGGGCAGCAGGTCAGCAGGGCAGCAGGACAGCAGGGCAGCAGGGCAGCAGGGCAGCAGGGCAGCAGGGCAGCAGGGCAAGGCAGCTAGCTACCTGGGAAGGTCTGGCCGAGGGTCACCTTCTGGCCGTACTTGTTTTAAGTCGACTCAAAACTTGAAAAAAAAGGGGGGCGTGGCAAGCAGCAGGGCAGTAAGCCAAGGCAGGTACCTGGGGTAGGTCTGGCCGAGGGTGACCTTCTGGCCGTACTTGCGCCACTCCCACCCGTCCATTGGCATCTCTGGCGCTGATGGCTTCGATGACGGCATGCGTGGCCTGGCAGGAGGGGTGGGCGGGGAGGGGAGGAGGGGAGGAGGGAGGTGGGTTGGAGAAGGGCGGGATGACCTGCGCCACTCCCACCCGTCCATGGGCATCTCTGGCGCTGACGGCTTCGATGACGGCATGCGCGGCCTGCCAGGGGGGCGGGAGCAGCTAAGGGTGAGAAGGGGCGTTAGAAGGGGGCCGTACAGACGCGTGTGGTTGGGAAGGGCGGTACAGGCGGGGGGGGGGGTGAGACGCGCCACTCCCACCCACCCGTCCATCGGCATCCCCGGGAGTTAGGGAGGATTTTCCACGTCACGAGCAACCAGTGAAAAGAGGTGGAGGAGACAAACAAGTGAGTGGAATTCTTGAGTAATCTTGACGCACGACCAGCACACACACACACCGTCAATACACCACGCACCTCTTATGCAACACTGCCCCATCGTCGCCGTCTTCCTCTGCACAACCACCACCCCCGCCGCCACCGCCACCACCCCCTGCACCAACAGCAGCAGCCGCAGCACTCCGCTTTGTCCCGCCCCCACTCCCACCCCCTACGCCTCCGCCTGCTTTTGCACCCTCACCTTCTCCCCCATCACCCGCGCCCTTCCCTCCGTCCTTCCCCGCATCCTTCCCCACGCCCCCTCCCCCTCCTCCCCCGCTCCACCCCTGGAACCCCCGCCCTTCCGCGTGCGGGTGGTTCCCCGCGCCCCCTTTCCGCTGCCCTGGGTGCTGCCCCGGGTGCTGCCCGTGCTGCCCTGGGTGCTGCGGCGGCGCATGCGCCTTCTGCGCGCCCTCGGATGGCAAAAGCGACTTTTGCGCCCCCCCTTCAACCCCCAGATGCGATTTCTGCGGCGCTTCAAAGCCCTGATGCTGCACCGCGCCCGCTCCGGCCGTTCCGCCCCCTCCCGCGGACATCCATGCGCTCGCTCCGCCACGTCCTCCCTCCTTGCCTTCCGCGGACGGCGCAGGCGCAGGGGGCGCGGGGGACCCCATTCCGCCTGTGCTGCCCCTCCCGCCCAGGTTTCCCCCCATCGGGGGGGGATGATGCATGGCGTTATTTCCCCCCGGGCGCGGCCAAAACGCCAACCCGTGGGGAGACATCCACATCGGCGGAAGCACAGGGGGACCTGGAACCCCCGCGCCTCCCGCTCCTGCCGCCGCCGAACCCGGGGCTCCAGGTGCCACGGAACCTCCTCCGCCGGAGCTGCTCATCCCGTCCGCGTCCGAAGGCCCGGGGGCGGATCCTGGCGGCGGAAGCGGCGGATGCGCGGATCCCGGGGCGCGGAAGACGCCGTGCGGGGGAAGGACTCCGGGCGGCGGAAGGGGGAACATCCCCGGCGGAAACGGCATCATTCCGTGGTGGCTCATCCCGTGGTGATTCATGCCGTGGTGATTACTCATCCCCGGGTGACTATTCATTCCGTGGTGATTGTTCATCCCATTCAGCTGCTGCAGCACTGACGCGACGACGTCGCCCACGCTGCGATCCGAACCAAGGTTCATGTCGCCAAGCATTCGCAAATGCATCCCCAGCTCCTCGGGAGTTGGTCGCCCCGACGCTCCCGCTGCCGCTGCTGCGCGAAAAGCGGCGGACGCGGCGGCTGCAGCAGCAGCGGCGCCGGGATTGGCCGGGGCGGATGCGTCTGTTCCGTTTCCCGCAGCAGCGGGAGATGCGTTGGCGGCAGCAGCGGATGGGACGGCGGAACGCGCGGGAGAGGAGGGGTGAGTGGCGGTCTGACCGTTGGGATGGTCGGGGGGGAACGATGCCGCGTTGTCGCCGTTGCTATCCCCGTTCTGCTGCTGCTGCTGCTGCTGCTGATGGCTCTGATTCTGGTTCTGATGCGGATTATTGTGATGTTGCTGCTGCTCGTGCTGATGAGGATGCGGCTGCTGCGAGTACGAGTTGTCCTGTTGGTCCAAGTGTTGCTCCTCAGCGCAGCGCGAGTGTGGGGGCGATGCCACGTCAGCAGGAGGAGATTCCGCGTCAGGGTTCGGGGGTCCGAGAAGGGCCTGGCAGCTTCCCAGGGCCTCCATCGCTGATTGGACCAGATCTTGAGCTTCTGCCACGTCACTGGGAAAGGGCAGGGATAACGAGAAAAAAAACAACGGAAAAAAGGAGGGTGAACGACAAGAAAACGGGACGACGCGAAAGGCATTGAGAGGCTTCGTGCGTCGAACACCTGTCAAAGGTGGCAGGAAGAGACACATTCGAACCACAGCGGACAACTACGCGAAGATTGTAAGCACAGCTGCCGACGCCTCGAACATCCTCGTCAAAGAAGACGAAGATAATGGCGAAGGCGAAGGCGACGGCGAAGACAAAGGCGACAGCGAAGACGAAGACAAAGACGAAGGGGAAGAAGAGGGCGAAGACGACGACGAAGACGGCGACGAAGGCGAAGGCGAAGACGAAGGCGAAAGAACAGTAACTCGACTTCAGATAGCCGCGTGTAGAAAAGTCTGCATTAAGTAAAGCAAAGAACGTGCTCCTCTGCTCCCCGTCTTAAGGCTTTCATCAAAGTTCCAGATTGCTTGGCCCGGAAACCACTGCTTATCTTAATTCTCACAGAAGCCTCACAACGAAAAGGCTGGTCACTCACCGGCTGCGGCTCTCATCAAAGTCCGGGTCCGCTTGTCCCGGAAATTGCTGCCCTTACACTTATTCTGTCAGAAACTTAACATTGAAAAGGCTACTCACCCGCTAAGGCTCTCATCAAAGTCCGGGTCCGCTTGTCCCGCGGATTGCTTCGCCATCTCAACACGTAGATACATCGTATTAGCGTGCTTCATCAGCACCTTGGTTTGCGAGTTTGCCAGCGTCGTCGCGTCTAGAAGCTTCTTACACAGCGTACTTAGCGACTCTAATTGGTTCTCCATGGTTGGAGCGTGGATCGACTCGCCGGACATTAATCTACAGTGTAGGCGGCTCGGCTGATTTCCGAAATAACTCTACCGGGTAGCTAAACGCTATCTTGCGTTTTCGAGTTGTGCGAGTCCAGGTCTTCGCCCGATATTATGCGGTTTCGATGGTCCAGATCCAAACTCTCACTCAATTCAAATTCCTGCAATATCCAGCTCCCCAAACCTTTTCCCAATTCTTGCTGACAGTAAAAGCTAAATTAGCTAAACGTTGTCAAAAAGGAAGGAAAAGTTGGGGAAAAAGGTACGGGAAGAGACAGGATGAGGAGCAGGTGCGGGGAGGAAGGGAGAAACGCCGCCGAACGCGAGACAACAAGCCTAAGCTGAGAAATACGACAAAAAAAAAAAAAAAAAAAAAAAAAAAAAAAAAAAGGAGATCCGTCAATCGAGTTCCTAAAATACTAGCCGTCTACGCGGGGCGCCATGACCCTCGCAAGCGGAAGCGCACATCCAGGGTTACAGAAACCATAGCTCACAACCCACAGGAACACCACACGTTCACACATCAATCATCCAAACGCGAGAATTGGGAAAGAAAGCAGAAACAATGGCAGAGCAGGAGAGAGTCAAGACGTTCTTCTAGTGTCTCGGGATCTGCGAGCGGTCAAAGACGTTCGTGAGGGTTTGGTGACTTCCCTCCGCTCCCTAAACCTCCAGGTCCAGGTCTGGTGAGGGGTGGGTGGACCCACCCGCGTCTAGTTTCTTGCTTGCTGGAGGTGACCAGTCCCCCCAGGCTCCCCGAGTCAGCCCCTTGATTTCACCCTCCCTCAACCAAGCCTGTTTAAAGTATCCGAACCAGACTCAAACCTGATCTGATCCATCCAGACCAAATTATCCACGTCAGGTGCTCGCGGCCGAGCCAGGATGCAGCCCCGGGCTGCAGCTTTCTGGGGTGGAGGGAAGGCGTGATGTGTGGTGTGGATAGGTTTCATGGAGGACCGTGCGGTACCCCCATCACATGGAGATGTGTTACCTGTCGACGCGGCCAAAGCACAGCAGGGGCGACTAATAGTCAATTTTAGTCGTCGATGTGGAGACTGTAACGGTTGAGATTATTTCGGACCCTCAATCATCCAGAACAGTAAACTGTTCTAAACTGTGGGATGGATAGTAGCTTGTACGGCTCGGATTAGCTGACAAAGATGCGCTGATCAGTGGAGATGTGCTTGCTGGTTGAGGGAAGTTTTATTGGCTACAGAGCTGTATAACTGAGCCCAGGAAGTCTGAGGTTTCCCTGGCAATCAAAGTCACTGGGCATTGCTGTAAAGGTCAAACCCCCCGTCACGAAAGTTTTTTAAGTGCAAGGCTAATAAAAACCAGGTGGCCTTTAGAGCGGAGCATTCAAACCCCGCAAGGGAAGAATAAAATAATAAATCAAGTGCACCTTGCTCAAGTAGCGTTGCATGTTTTGTCTCTTCCATTCTCAAAAGGACAGGCCCTTCCTTCCCTATCAAAACCTCCCACTTGTACCTCAGCGCTGGAGAAAAGGGAAGACTCAGGGTGTCGAACCTCAATTTCTGCTTCGGTATCGTCCCAAGTTCCAGCCAATACGCATGATAAATTGCCTTTTCTGGACCGCGTGGTGTGTACGTGTATCTGGACATTTTATTAAGAAAAGGGCGCCTACCCGAGCCTACCCGAAAGACGTCAGCGTTTGGTGGCTATGCAAGTGATGGAAGCTTCGGGCGGTCAAGCACTTCAACGCCACGATGTTATAGCCGCCCAGAAAATCGTGGGTAAACCAATTCCTGATCGCCAGCACATCGTGATCATGAAGGTAGCGGCCAATATCATATATACTCAAAGTATGCCAGAGACGTTTTGCATCGGTACTCAACTTCGATTTCTCATAGCTGATTGGCTCTTGCTTTTGTATCACACTTTTCAGGCTAATAACACCTCAGAAATGTGACAGGAACACAGCTCCTTTACCGAACAATTGTGACCCAATAATTGTGACCCAATAATCGACCAGAAACAAAAAAAATATTACTCAACCCTTTACAACTAAATTTTGAATCGAGCGCGAAATTTGTAAAGATTAATCAGAAAACCGACTGGGAAAATGGATGCAAACTGGGAATAACTCAATGGAATGGGGTCGACTGAACCGTCAACCCTCACGTCGACCGTGGACATGCTTATCTCAAACAGAATAAAACTAAAACCCCCTCACTTGATGTGGCGGAATTATCAACCCTAAACACTATGCGACAATGTGTTTTGGGGTGATGTCATCCTGATTGGATGCCTTTCCGTATGAATCTTATTTTCGTTGATGCAACCCGACCGGCAGCAAGCTTTGCTGGATAGTGTCGTTTGTCCGTTGAGATAATCCAAACGGAATGCATCATCCATAAACACTTGACGACTTATCGTAATTATGGTTAATATTCCCAAATTCTGTCCAGGTTATCCAAACGTTTTTTTCCAAATTTATTGGGTATGTGCGAATGTTGTGCTGGTGGCGACAATGTTTCTAGATATTTCTTATAACTAAAACAAAAAATATATGTAGTTACTATTGCGATCAGATGAGATAATAATAACATGCGAATACACGAATATAAATAAGAGTACAAGGGGGTTCGAATCGACATAGGCTAGCCATGTACTCAAAGGGGTACATTCCCTTATTGCAGCGAAACCCAACCGTGCGACTCCAGACGGTTATAAATTGCCTGGGCAGAATCCTCGCCACTGCTGCTGCCTGATGCTGTCTGCTCGACGGTTCAGATCCCTTCGTAACCGTACGACCCTTCGCGTCACTTCCACCTCTTCGTCTTCAGCATCGGTAGTGTGTGCCACGGTAAGGAGTGCACAGCAATGCTTCATATTTTACTATTCGTAACACCCCCCTTCACTCCTGGCCATAGCGAGTCTTGACCCGCTTGACTACCCCGCTGAGCTCGGAGCAGTGCTGGTACAGCCGACATGACAGTCGCTTCGTGACGAAGTCTGCTGCCATGTCACCCGTCGGACAATAGGTGAGGTCAACCTTGCCCTGTCGACTTTGTCCTTGACGAAGAAGTAACGCAGCGCGATGTGTTTGGTGTGGTTGACGAACCCAGGCTTGTTCGCGATCCTGATCGCGCTATGATTGTCGCAATGCAGGCGAAAATTTGCCGAGGCTGGAATTTTCGCCTCCTGCAGCAGCTCCTGAAGGTAGAGGCCTTCGCGACAGCTGCTGTTGCTGCGATGAATTCAGCTTCCACTGATGACAGGGCAACCAGCTCCTATTTCTGTGAATTCCAGGAGATGGGGCCGCTAGGCTCGAGGCGGAAGAGGAAGCCTGTCCTGGACCATCGATTGTCGGGGTCAGCGGCATAATCAGCATCCACGTAGCCGATGAGGTTGAAGGAGGAGGTTGGGATGGTGGAGTAGCAGAGCCCAACATTGGGCGTGGAGATGAAGAATTGAAGTGCCTGCTGGTTTGCGAGAGTACTGAGCCAACTGGCTCGCGATGTAGGAGAGATCGGGCCTGCAGATAACAGAGGCAAAAAGTAGGCATCCTAGCTACTGCTGGTAGGTATGAAGCCCAGCAGGGGACAGGGCTTTGTTGTCAGGCTTGTGGTTGGGTCCTGGAGTGCGGTAAGGGGTGGAGAGTGGTGTAGGTGCAATGTTGAAGCGCTTGCCAAGTTCCTCTGCATACTTGGGTGCTGAGAGATGAATGGCTTATGGCGAGTAGGAGATGTTGAGCCCGAGAAACTGCTTTACGTCGTGGTTGCAGGTGATATCGACGCGCCCTGCAAGGATTTTCTCGAACTGCTCAAGCAGTTCGTTGCTCGATCATGTGCAAAGGAGATTGTCGACGTAGACCGTGAGTAGAATGTATTCGCCGCGGAAATCGCGGCGATACATGCCGGGATCGTGAGGCAGCTGCTTGAAGCCTATCTTGAGCAGGATGTTGTGCAGGTACTGCTGCTAGAGCCTTGGCGCCTGTTTAATCCCGTAAAGGGATTTTCGCAGCTGGCACACGCGTGAATCTTCCTCGCCGTATGTGTGCGGCTTCTCCATGTAGATAACAGCATCTACTAACGCGTAGTGAAAAGCGTTCTTCACATCAATCTGGCGGAGCGGGTGTCGTGCGGCAGCGATGGCAAGGAGAATTATGACGGAGGTGTGACGGCTGACCGGCGCAAACGTCTGGTCGAAGTCGATGCCGTGCCTCTGGTCGTAGCCACGTATGACCCAGCGCGCCTTGAATCGTTCAATCGTGCCGTCCGCTGCGGTCTTCATGCGGAAGACCCATTTCCTGGAGAGAATATTTCTCCCCTTGATTTCCGCATCCATCGCTTCGCACCATTCCTTGCTGTGTGGTCCCGTGAGTGTTTGGCGCAGATTCTTCGGCTCGATGACACGCGATGTCGTTGACGTGGCGGTGTGGAGCCAGAGAAGTTGAAGTCCGGAAACGGTGCTGTCGTGGCGGTGCTGCGGGATGACTTCGTGCACGTCGTCATCGCCGCTTTCTGGTTCATGTGGTGCTGGCGGTGCTGCGCCTCTGCCACTTCCGCTTCCGCCTTCGCCTGCTGCGCCTGCTCCTCCTCTAGGAGAATCGTCGTCGTCGTCGTTGTCACGGCGATCGCCTCTGGGGTCCTGCTCCAGAATGGCTGCTGCAGCTTCGTCCTCATGTGAAGCGTAGCTGTGTTCGTCGTTGGCGTAGACGCGATTCGCGTTTGCCTGCTCGTCTTCGCGAAATTGCCGAAGGAAGAGCCGCTCGTAGAAGATGACGTCACGCACATTCTCCATCTTCTTACTCACGAGATCCAGGACGAGCCATGCTTTGTGTTCGTGGCTGATGCCAAGGTGAATCCCCCAGCGCGCGCGGCTTGTAAATTTCCCGATGGTTGACGTTGGCGGGCGATACTGCACTACACACCCCCACACATGGAGCATCGATGTGTTGCCCTTGGTCCCTGTCCATTTCACATGCGGTGATGAGTTGCCGGTGATGGCCG